GTTTCCACGCCTATTAACTTCTCTGGATGTTCTCTCTCAGGAGATTTCTTTAGCTCTACTGGCGTTGAAAGTTTAGAGTCAAGTTTATCAAGTGGTTTGTCTGTTTTTTCTACCACAACGTCTACATGGTCAGTTTGTAAGGCATCTGTTGTTTCCACACCTAATAACTTATCTGGATGTTCTTTCGATGGAAGTTTCTTTGGCTCTACTGGCGATGAAAGTTTAGGATCAAGTTTGCCAAATGATGTCGCCTTAAAAATGTCTGAATGGTCAGGTGGAAAAGTATCCGTCGTTTCCACACTTATTAATTTATCTGGATATTCTTTCTCAGGAGATTTCTTTAGCTTTACTGGCCATGAAAGTTTAGGGTCAAGTTTATCAAGTGGTTTGTCTGGTTTTTGTACCACAACGTCCACATGGTCAGTTTGTAAGGCTTCTGTTATTTCCATGCCTATTAACTTATCCGGATGTTCCTTCTCAGGTGATTTCTTTGGCCGTACTGGCGATGAAAGTTTAGAGTCAAGTTTATCAAGTTGTTTTTCTGGTTTGTCTACCACAATGTCTGCATAGTCAGGTGGTAAAGCATCTGTCTTTTTCACATCTAATATCTTATCTAGATGTTCTGTCGTAGGAGATTTCCTTGGTTGTACTGGCGATATAAGTTTAGAGTCAAGTTTATCAAGTGGTTTGTCGGGTTTTTCTAAAATAACATCCACATGGTCAGTTGGTAAAGAGTCCCTCATTACCACACCCATTAACTCATCTGGATGTTCTTTCGCAGGAGATTTCCTTGGCTGTGCGCGCGGTGGAAGCTTAAAATCAGATTTTTCAAGTGGTTTGTCTGGATTTTCTACAACAACGTGTGCATGGTCAGTTGGTAATGCATCTGTCATTTCCATATCTGTTAATTTATCAGGATGTTCTTTCGCTGGAGGTTTCTTTGGCTCTGCTTGCGGTGGAAGTTCGGAATCAAGTTTTTCAAGTGATTTCTCTGGTTTTCTTAAAACAACGTCTGCATGGTCAGTTAGTAATGCATCTGTCTTTTCCACATTTATTAACTTATCTGGATGTTCTTTCTTAGGTGATTTCATTGGCTCTGCGCGCGGTGAAAGTTTAGAGTCAAGTTTATCAAGTGGTTTGTCTGTTTTTTCTATCACAACGTCTGCGTGGTCAGTTTGGAAGGCATCTGTCGTTTCCACACCTAATAACTTATCTGTATGTTCTTCCTTAGGAGGTTTCTTCAGCTCTACTTGCGATGAAAGTTTAGGGTCAAGTTTATCAAGTGGTTTGTCTGTTTTTTCTACCACAACGTCTACATGGTCAGTTTGTAAGGCATCTGTGGTTTCCACGCCTATTAACTTATCTGGATGTTCTTTCTCAAGAGATTTCTTTGGCTGTGCGCCCGGTGAAAGTTTAGAGTCAAGTTTATCAAGTGATTTGTCTGTTTTTTCTACCACAACGTCTACATGTTCAGTTTGTAACGCATCTGTGGTTTCCACACCTAATAACTTATCTGGATGATCTTTCTCAGGTGATTTCTGTGGCTTTGCGCGCGGGGAAAATTTAATGTCATGTTTATCAAGTGGTTTGTCTGTTTTTTCTACTACAACGTTTACAACGTCAGTTTGTACGGCATCTGTGGATTCCACGCCTATCAACTTCTCTGGATGTTCTTTCTCAGGAGATTTCTTGAGCTCTCTTGGCGATGAAAGTTTAGAGTCAAGTTTATCAAGTGGTTTGTCTGTTTTTTCTACCACAACGTCTACATGGTCAGTTTGTAAGGCATCTGTTGTTTCCACGCCTATTAACTTCTCTGGATGTTCTCTCTCAGGAGATTTCTTTAGCTCTACTGGCGTTGAAAGTTTAGAGTCAAGTTTATCAAGTGGTTTGTCTG